AGAAAATATAAATCGGTGTAAAGTGATCTTCATTTTCAAGAGATAGCATCATTGATCCCCCCACCCCCACCCCATTTAAGTGTGAGAGTTCAGACTGCACTGAAACAGACTTTGCATTCAATTCAATCGTATGCTTTTCGGCTTTTTTTTGCTTAACTAGTTTCCGCAATCTGAATTGTCATCATTACATCATTCATCCTAATGGAGTTATGATGGCGGAAAGAATTACATGAACCAGTTACAATGAATTAATAAATGTGATTAATTTTACTCCATGCAAACATAAAGCATACAAAGTTCAATCACCGTGATAACTTAAAAGTTTCTTACATGACATCACCTTAGGATTCTGCATTGCAAGCCTTGTTCTCTCCCTTATCCGCTGGAGGGTCTCTGCAGATAAAAACACAATGCAACCGTGGTTATCGTTGCAACAACTCGACAATGTGCAAAACAAAATATAGTACCATAAATTAATGGAAATGACCTGCACTGTGCTTCCTGCCTTTGTTCCAAGGCGTGTTTCCTTTATTCGCTTTAGAAATCCTCATCCGCCTTAACTTTTCCCTCTCGTCCAATTCGTCATCCGAGTCTCTGGTCTCCAAACGTTCGGCCAGAGTTGATGAAGGGCTTGAATTACCACCAAGCTGTGACTTATTGTTGTATCCATCTTGTTTCGGAACCGGACACTTCGGTTCGAGTGTCGCAACAGCTCTAACCTGGAGTTTTCCAAAGTGGTTCTCCTGGTTCCCCACATGAAAATTTACCCTCGTCGGCAATGGGGAGGATTTCCATGTATTTGACAAAACTTGAACCCTCACCGGAACCAGAGGGCCTTGCAAGGAAGGTTTCGCAGTGGCGATATCTGTTTCAGGCAGCCAATCATAGTGATAAAAATGCTCATGGGAAATCACAAAACACCCAGAATTCTCGACACACAAACCACACAAAATCCATAAAATTAAACCAAATTCAACAACTACAAATTAAACTTGAACATGTAAATGAAAAACGAAACATAGAACATACCTAGTAAAGTCATGGGAGCTCATTCAGCCTAAAGAATCAAAACCCAAAACTTGGAATCTTATCTCAACAAAATTTCAAATAAGCTAGACGCCCACATTCCAGCAGGAGGTTTTGTTTCTTATTCTTTTAGAATGTTGAAGGTCGATAATATCAGTATGACATAAGCCTAAACAACAAGAGAAACAGAGGTCTCGTGGAAGGGATTTTAGATGCAGAGATGGTTAAGCTGAAACAGAGAGAACCACACAGATATTGTCGATAAAAATGCACTTCTGTTGTTTGCAGACGCTGGGTTATAGATAACGATGGCCTTATTTTCCCATTTGTGAAACACTCCATTGGGCTGTTTATTTGGTGGGTTGGGTTACATTCAGATCCTACAGTTTTTTTTTTTTGAAGTGAGATCCTACAGTTTTTATTTGAACAGAAACAGGCTCATGCTTAGCCACGATAGTTCGGATTCAGGTATTTGGGGATATTTAATCTAAATTTTAATAAATTTAGATATTATAAATTTATAAAATAATTTATAGATTTGGATATTAAAATTATAATTCATTAAATATTTAGAGCGTATGTAAATATGGATGTAAATGAATCGAGCTTGAACGAATAAGATTGTATATTTATGTTCGTGCTCGTTTGTTTATTTTTAAAGTTATTAATTTTTCGGTTTTGTATTCTTTTAAATTTTTAGTATCATGTTCGTTTTCGGTTCATTTAGCGGTAGTGAACATGTTCGTTTAACGTTCATGAACGTGTACGTATATCATTTGCCAATATACTCATTAGCATTTGTCGATATGTTCGTTTATATGGCGTTTGTCGATATGTTAGTTTATATGGCTATAGTCCCCTCAACCAACGCTCTCCTTTTACCCTTTTATTTGCAAGCCTTAAGCGTCTTAAGTTCCACATTTTGAACTTTAAAAGTTTCTATGCGTTCAATTTAGTCTCTACCTTTAACAATATTTAAAATGTAAAAAAATAAAATGAAAATGAGAACCAGATAAATGAGTCAATAAACTAATTTATAAACTTGTTTATAAACATAAAAGAACCAAACACATCTTTATTTATGTTCAATCTTTTGTTAAATGAATATAGATTTTTCTTCATACTCATTTATTTTACTTAATAAACAAATATAATATGAATAATTCATCAAACACTATATTAATTTATACCCTAGATATAGATAAACTCCTCCGATATCTTTGAATGAACATGAATCCTACGTAGTTTGATAGCGGCCAAAAGAAAACGTCAAAGCCAAGAATATTAACATAAATCTTCAACGAGTCTAAGATTACAGTCGCATTTTTTTCTTCCCATTTCCAAGTTCCATCTACTTGCCTTAACGTATCCGGCACCTGCCACTACCGTTGACACGGCAGCACCACCAGCAATACAGCTGCCCCACCCCCACCACCTTGCTTAATTACCAGTCCAACAAGCACAGCCATAAAATTCGATTCAAAACCCTTGCATCTTTCCATAGCAAACACAACAAAAGACAGGAGCATTAACCAGAGGTATGCTCTCGGTAATCTGGGTTTCCACGGCTTCACTCATGGTGGTCGTCAGCGGCTGCTATCATTTCTATAACAAATGGATCGAAAGCAGCAGCCGTGATGTCGAATATTGTGTAGTGTGCATTAGTGAGGTCTCCAAGGGGGAAAAACTCGGGTGGCTAAGGTGTGGCCATGGTTTTCATGATGGTTGCATTGATGCATGGCTTAAAGTTGGCACGACTTGCCCTATTTGCAGGGTTAACGTTGTCCCTAAACGGAGCTTTCTCGTTTCTTCCATGGTTTCTCGGGCGGTGAAATGGATCCAAAACCCGCTTTCGTCGGAGATCACATTGGCATTTTGTGAGAGTGTTGGGTATGTTTAGTGAAGTTAATTACAAGTTAACCATGATTCATTCTTTGATGGGTTATTCGAGAGCAAAGCAGGGCAGTAACCTGGCTCAGTAACATTCTTTTTATTCTTCTGTTCTTGTTTTGCAAATTACATCATTTTGATTTTTTAATATTTTAATTCCATATTTCTTAAATTTTAAATATATATTCATGATATAAAATCATGTATTGGTCCTAATTCAAATCACAAACCTAACATTGTTAGTTGTACTTTTATTTATCACATCCTTCAAAGTTCTAGCGATCTTCAAGTGTGCATTTATCAATTTGGATCGAAAATTCAAGCGTAAACATTTTACAGACCAAAATTGATATTGATTTAGCAAATCTTTTGTGTTTGAGAAATTGGGTTTGCATCTATACACATACACACATACAGAAGTGTCAATATCTGGAAAATATATTACTACTGTATTAAAAAAATATCGTCAGTTGTAAATTTAAATAAAATATTATTAATTAGATCATTATAAATAGAACAAAAAATATCACTAGTTGAACCAATATCAATCCTCAATAATAAATTATTTTGGGTCCTGAAGGAGGACATGACCAAGTAGTTTTAGACTTAGATTTGTCTTTGTTTATTCTTAAAAAGTAAATTAATTTTTTAATGTTCATCATCTTTTTTAAACCAATAATCTTCTATTTTTTTATAGAACTAATGTTTGCGATTCTCTATTTAAACCAAAAGGGAAGAACAGTCAAATACCACTATAATCTCGTTCTTGTCATCAATATTTTTTAATTTAACACATATATTTATTTTTTAATTTTAATTTATAAGAGTATAGAGATAATTTAAAATATATATAAAAAGAGGAGAATTATAATAATTATCTTTTTAGTATAAGAAGGGAGATTACATATCATATGGGTTAGGCTGAAATTTTTTACTATAAATTTAAATTTGATCTAACTCAATTTTATCATTCACGAAATTTACTCTAAGCTCAAAATTTAAAAAATATAACTTCATATTATAAAATTAAATCAAATCAAAATAAATTGGATTCAATAGTATTTTAGTCGTGTGTGTGTGTGTTTTTATATGTAACTTTCTCCAAAGTCTAAAAAGAAAGCAATGGATGCCCACAATTCATCCACCACCGTCTATGTTTTGCTGCTTAATTTAGGCTATCGGCCGCCCATTATGAGGCCTGAACAAAAATCATTCATTCTTCATCATTTTGTCTAATGTTTGAGTACTCCTAAATGCTAAGACTTATAAAAGCCCAAAATTGTGGTCAAAATCATGCCATCAACTTGACAATATTGGTCGGTTAATTACATGCAAAACCTTAATAAAATCGAGTTTAAATAAAAAAAACGATTAAGACTGCTAATCCATGCTTACAATAATTTCTTTGGGTCCTCATTTATGAAAATTATTTATTTCGTTCACAATGTAATCACCCAAGACATTATGATTGCTTTTGCTATTATTATTACACGGTTCTGGTAACAGGACAACGAAAGCAATGTTACAATATTACAAATTTAACGCAGAAAATAAGAATCGCATTTGATATTAATTTTGAAATTAAAATTAAAATATAAATATTTAATGTTATTGTTGATGAAAATAATTCGTATAGTTGATGGTTTATTTTTTTTATTTAAGCAAAGAACTATTATGAATGAGTCTATGTAAAAGTTTAAAAGAAAAAAATATATCTGAGAGAGAAGATATCGTTTAAAAGAGACGAATAATATAGATGAAATATGAAAAAGAGAGAAGGATCTTTTTCGATCTTTCATCTGATTTATAAAACTCGAGGGTCAAGCATGGTGAATTAGGTAGGGTTGATATTGGTTTTAGTTAGAGTTGAAATGAAGCCACCATTTACACACCCTTTTCAGCGGGGAGGGACAAGGAGTCAAAAATGTTGGAAGTTGGAACATGGGTGCGGTATTTTCGCAGCAAATACTTAGGAATCAAAGGAGTGGGTTTTGCTTTGAGATTTGTGTTGTAAACAAAGTAAGGCTTAATTTATTACATAAACCATGTGAAATTTTGTGCTAATACACACTAATTGCAAGTTTCCATTGTAATTTTTATTTATTTTACGCGGTATTTTCGCAGCAAATACTGAGGAATCAAAGGAGTGGGTTTTGCTTTGAGATTTGTGTTGTAAACAAAGTAAGGCTTAATTTATTACATAAACCATGTGAAATTTTGTCTGCTAATACACACCTAATTGCAAGTTTCCATTGTAATTTTTATTTATTTTCCTATCGGTTACTTTCTTTATTCACTTGTGCTTTATTTGGATTTGGATGTCCGATGAGAATCCTTCTCAAACTATGCTTATGATCCCATTGTAAAGTATTAGGTCCATCCTACAAATTACTACTTGAAGTCAACAATTTTTTTCAAACTGGTATTGGATTATCAATATGATAATAACATGTCAAAATGACGAATCATGTAATGGGATATATTAATTTTCATTAATAAAATACCAACCATGTATTCAGTTCGATCATTGAACAAACATTTTCTCCATTCATGATTTTTAAGTTATAAAAATTAATATCAAATGCGTAAAGTAAATGGACTAAAGTAATTGTGGCTCATGTGGGCATTTGCATGCCCAGTAATTGTGTAAAGTAGGGATGTTGAAAAGAATGATAGGAAATTGACAAGTAAATGAAGAATGGAAATTGTATAGGCGGGTGGCTCATGTGGGCATTTGCATGCCCAGTAATTGTGGCGGTTTTCATGACTTTGAAAATCACTCATTTAGCGATTTATTTTATACAACAGATCAACGCTCCAACTTGAATGTTTACCAAATGGACTAAAGTAAATGAGTAGGTACTGAGTGACATTGGCTTCCTGTAATGAAAGTTTTACATTGTAGTCCCTTAAGAAATTATATAACTACAAATTAGTTTAATACCAAAATTATACTTATACCCCTCCTAACATTTATAGATTCATTTTACTCCTTTAAATAAAAATTCTACCTTCGTTTGTGTCTACTAACTGCTGAATCAACTTTTTAATTTTGATCAAATATAAAAATGGCATAATATAAAAAAGGTGCCTAAATTATACCTCTCTTCTCATTTAGGTATTTAATTTTTCGATCAATTTAGGTACCTAACGTTATCACTTTAAATGTATAGTCCGTGACAACCGTTAAATTTTCTTATCGACTATTGAAAATGTGATATGTGGTGCATTTATAATTTTTAAACATTTCATTTTAAAAAACTTAAAATTATTATTTTTTTAAAAAAGGAAAAAAACTCAAAACATTTCTAAAATTCGGATTTCCCTGCAACTCTTTTAAGGTTTTAACTCGGTTTGGTCTTGCTAGGTTTTTACCATTGTCTTTTAATATGACGCGACAGTGTGGAATCAAATTGAAATTACAAATTAAAAGAAGACCACAAGGAACAGAATGGAAATCAAAGCATATTACACCCTTAACCTAATCTAACAATAAGATTAGGTACTTTCTCAGGAGGAGAATCGAGAGTGAAAAGGAAGGAGAAGTGTTTCATGATGGAAGGGGAAGGAGAAGAGTTTGAGAGAAGGGGGAGGTTAATCCACGGTAACTTTATTTATTTTTTACTTTTGGGTTAAAGTATTAATTTTAATATTTTATTAATTTAATTATATATATATTTTTTTAATTTTTAATAATTAAAAATTATAATCAATACCGCGTGTGAGAATCTAAATGGATAATGGATTTTTTTAATGTCTATTACGACTTAGGCACTTAAAATATTAATGTTGGTAACGTTAAACATTTATATTACTAAAAAAATTAGACACCTAAATAAAAAAATTCTAAATTAAAAAATCCTTGGAAATATATGTATATATGAAATTTCATTAGAATGGAGACCAAAGCTCTGATAAGGGATAAGGACTGGGTTTACATTAATTTAAGCACTACTTACTATTGATGTTTGAACATTGTACTCAAAAGGTGTAAAAGTTTTATTATTTTTCTGTGTAATAAAAAACTAATATTTTTAAACAATTATTGATATAAATTTTATGAATAAAAAATTATATTGGAAAGAGTAGAGTGAACTGGAAACTCAATTATAGATATAATTTAAATAAAAAATATTTTATATTGTTAAAAAAAAAAGATGATACAATACAGGTGTCTCATACGCAGCTTATCATGTTAAAGAGTCGTGAAAGTTGGACACCAAAACCGTCCTCCTCTTCACTTTAGTTCAGTTCAACCCCCTCTTTTCGATCTCTCTCAAAGCAAAGTCCCTAAAAGATTCTATATTTCCTTTGATTCTTTCAGTATTTGCAATCCTCAAAATAATTCCTTTCTTTTGAGCAATTTCTTCTTTCAATTCTCTTGCACCTTCTTTCTACATTTTCCTTAATTTTCCCTCCCGTTTCTCTACATTTTCTTTGGTTGATTCCTCCCCCCCCAAAAAAAAAAAATAATAATAAAAATCCCAGTTTTGTTCTGCGACTTTAGGCTGCTTCTCATCTGAAAATCAAATCTTTTTGAGAAATTTCACTAAAAAAAGCTACAAGTTTTGGTGTTTGTTTCCAAAGTCATGGATAAGCCTGGATTTGGTGAATCGACAGCAGTGGTAATAACAGGGAAGATCATGGCCATAGCCATAATAGTTCTTTTCTTAGTAGTGGTCTTTGTGCTTTGTCTTCATCTTTACGCAAAATGGTTTTGGTGGCGCCGTGAAGAGCCAACATCCCACCCTTCCCGCCGCAGCCGGCGGCGTTTCGTATTCGCTCCGGGGCAAGACGCAGCTCATCCTCAACGCAGTGCCACCAAAGGCCTCGATTCAACGATCCTCGCTTCACTCCCTGCTTTAATTTTCAGTCAAAAAGATTTCAAAGAAGGCCTGGAATGTGCGGTTTGCTTGTGTGAGCTTGTGGATGGAGACAAAGCTAGGCTGCTTCCTAAATGTAACCACGGCTTCCACGTTGATTGTATTGACATGTGGTTTCAATCGCACTCGACCTGTCCTCTTTGTAGAAACCCCATTGTTGGTGTTGAAGTCGAGAGTCCAAAACATCTTATTGCAGGCGATGAAGTGAATGTTCAAGCTCAAGTTCAGTCACCGCACGATGGGTATTCGACGGATTCGGTTACTTTCCCGACGAATGTGTTGTTTTGGGGTAATCATACACAGGTGAGTAGCGGTGCTGCTGCTGCTGAGGGTGGCTCTGCATCTGCTTCTATTGGTTCTTCTGCCATGGCAGCCTCTTCTAGTGGTAGACAAGAAGGGATTTTAGTGATTGATGTTGCATCGAATGGAAATGAGAATTTCACAGAGGAGGAATCAAAGAATCCAATGCCTAAGAGATTAAGGTCTTTGAAGAGACTTTTGAGTAGGGAAAAAAGGGTAGTTCCTAATAGTTCAGGAAGCAGTTCAGTTGATGCTTGAAGTTTCCATGTATTTATCATATAGGAGATCATCCCTGAGAATTGTGGAATTCTATAAGAGATGCTGGCAATCTTCTCTTGAAAAAGCCATTAGAAATGTTGTTGAAAGAATGTACCTTCACCTGCAAAATGGGTATCAGAAAAAATGGCTGCTTTTGCAGAAGATTTGTTTCAATCTGGATTCATGTTAGTGTTAAAGCTATTAACCCAGTTTTCTCTCTCTTTTGTTGCTTATTGTTCCTTACAGTTCAAGTTATTAGCTTGTTGTTGTGCATGGAATTGAACTGCAACAATTTAAAAGCAATGCTTGAAATCATCATTCGGTAAAGAATCTATCATATATATATTGAGTCTTGAGAGTTCATATTCACTAGAGGAATTGGTACATGTTCTGTAAAATGCACTCATCTGTATGTTCTGCTCCGAATTCGAATATGTGCTGTAAAATTTCCCACCATCTATTTATCAGAACTGAGATACAGAATATTGAAAGATCTTAGTTACATTATGTCAATACTCTATAATTGATACACTATGTCACCAAATAGACAGGTCCATAAGTGTTGATATGATGAGGATTGTTAGGCTGGTCAAGACTCATGTAAGGTACCTCATTCTCCATCTTCCTTGTAGGGGTGAAAACGGCGGAGACTGGGGGCGCCGACGTGGTGTTTCGACTTCGACTCCCTTGACGGTTCTACATAACGGACTTGAAATGCAACGTTTCATTGGCTGGAAATATTAGGAACATTGACAGGATCTGAACCAGGTTTGCTCTTTCTGTCGATTTTGCACCATGAGAAGAGTGAGTTTCTCCATGATTTCTTGCTCTTTTTCTCAGTTCCCAGTATCGTCTTCCCCGCTCCCTCGGAACATGAATGTGACCGCTGCAAGTATACGTTTCTTGCATGGTGTTTCGCTTCTTCCAGAAACTGAAAAGAAGGGTTCAAAAGCCAAAACCAAATTAATGAACACAACCCATGATTGGTTGAAGATAAAGAATTGTATTTACCTGTGAAAAGTTCACCCGAGGATCAAATTCATAGCAAGAACAATCACTCGACTCGTGTTTCGGATGTATCGGAGATTTGCTCATGGTTTCCTGGAAGCTATAAACATCAAGTAGTAGCAAAAACCAAGATCAGAGTAGCAGATAAATAATAAACAATCAAATGCAAAAAGGGCATTGGTTGATTTATTCCATAAACAAATGCTTCACACAAGGAAATGAAGGTGAATGAAAATTAAAGAGTTGTATATTGTGTACTTTCAGTTGAGGAAATGAAGGCAATGAATCTGATTGAAGTCCAACTGCTCGAATTATTTCATCAAAGGCAAGGGGCCAACCACCAAACTAAATCCGAGTTGCAATGGAAACTGCAAAAATTAAGATTCAACTCAAAAGCGATATATTAGAGATGAATGGAAACTGAGTTGAAATGAAATAAGCCTTTACATATACATACAAAAGCGAGTTGCAGATGCTAAGGGGTTGTTTGTTTGCCTCTTAATGGAACTATTCAGCGCTGAACGCATCGCGTTTGTTTCGTACCTCTGAATGATTCAGTACAGAAGTACATTCTGAATTATTCAGAGTCAGTTATCAAACAATATGTCACATTCAGAGTCAAATCATTCAGAGCCTCTGAATCATTCAGCATTTGAATCATTCAACGCTTTAATTATTCTGAAGTAAACAAACAACCCCTAAGATTCAACTCAAACTAAATCCGAGTTTTAACTTTTTATGTGTATTTGGTATTGTAAAGTCCAGCAGTGGGGTAGATACTGCAAAAATCAGCAGATGTGTAGGCATCTAAACAACTTTTTAACCAGAGAAGCAACGTGAAAATAAGAAAAGAATGAATGGGAAGGAATCGAATCATTATGTCTTGGCTCAAATTAAACGTACTGTCAAGGCTGAGTTAAAGTGTTTTTCCCGGAAACTGAGGGTATTTCTGACACAGATTTTCAGCATTCACGTTTGATTCCACCAGAAAACAGTTCTGGTCGTTACGGACTTACTTGCAGGGTTGATTTATTTACAGAACAAAAAACTTGGCAACAGCAACAGTTTCCACCTTATGAACAAGTCTTACCATTTCACCTGAAAATTTTTAGTAATCCATGATTTTGTTAGGGAAATTGCTGATGCCATGGTTTAGCACAATCAGCGGCCGTTAACAGTTACCGGAGCACTAATGATGTTTTCACATAAAGACAATGTTAAGAATTCAGAATTTTAAAATCACAGTTTGAATTCTGTTCTACGTAAATATTATTTATGAATCAATCCATTTTATTCCAATTTGCCACTTCATATGTGAGCCCAGGGACATTATGCCTGGGAGAGGCCCTGCTCCCTCCCTCCAAATTTGTTTGATTGATTTGTATGTTAGCTTCTCTTACTTTTTAAATATTATTTATAATTAGTCAAATTAAATCGTATCTCTCTCAAATTTTTAATATAAATACTTAATATATTTTTTCCCTTAACCCTCTTACTACTTGATCTTAATACTACTTTGTGTTACTAAGAAAATAATACTATTTTGTGTAATCTCTATAAAGATTTATTTAGGTCTAAATCCAAATATATTCTGATTGCCAATCCGTTCATGGTTCGTAATAATTAATTTTTGCGAGTCACTTGAATGTGTTACCTACATAGTTATGTAATTACAGAAGTTAAAAAAAAGGATAGCTTATATTATGACAATTAATAATCACTTCTAACAGGAAGAGGAAGAAAAAAAATATTCTTGAAAAACGTAAAACAGAACAGGATTTGTCAACAAATAGTATTTAATGTAGTGAGGAATCATTTGGTAAAAACATTGTGATACCTTTAGAGCATAAGGTGGATAAACTCCACCGACATTACAAGCATGCAATGTCTCAAACTCAATAGCTAAATTACCAACATTAACTTTTAACATACGCCAAATAATAATAATCCAACTTACCTTCCCTGGAATCTTATCAAAACTCCCCTCTACATTCTTTCTACCAACAATACAAGCCTAAGGAGCATTGAAAAGGATTCCCTCACCCAGACACTGTATTATCACTAACCACAATGGAATTTTTCCATGTGGCCATCAAAGCTGCAGCAGCGGCAACGCCATTACGATTCCGAAGATGGAAAACAGCAACAACATCATCCATGTTGGGAATGGCTGTTTTCTGTTTCTTGTGTCCCTCAGTTTGTCTGCCTTTTTAACTTCTTCCCCTGAAGAGTTGACAAGTTTTTCTTTCTCCGGTTTGGGGTTTTCTCCTTGAGGTGATTCTTCTGATAAATGGTCTGACACAAGCTGTTGCTGCTTGTTGTACTTATCGACATATTCTGGAAACAATTTTCTGAATGTTGGGCTGCCATAGAAAAAATATGCTCACAAAAATTTTAGAAAACAAAACTACAGCAATATTTGACTGTTAACATAATGTGCAACCCGGAAAAGTTCTGTTAGCTAATAGCAATGTAGAATCCAGCCAATTGTAATAAATTTAACGTCAACCCAAAAACAATTAACAGAAGTGGAAGCATACTCACAGTAGCAGAAAATGGGCGAAACTGATTTGAAGAGCACTAGATTCTCAAAAACAGAAGGATGAAAAGAAAGAGAATGCAACGGAGGTGAAGCAATAAACGTACTTTTTACAATTAAAAGAAAGGGAGGTCTTTGCCAGGTGTTGTTTCTCAGCAGCGGTGGTGTTTACGCTGCCAGTGGTAGGACTGTTATCCATCTGCAAAAGGAAAAGGCAGCTTTGCTTAAGGGTACATTGCCAATGCAAGGAAGAAGTACTGCAGCTTATCCAAACTGCAATTTAAATGAATTAAGATGCAAGAAAAGATTCCAAGTTTCACCATGAAAGACAGAAGCCCAGTGAGTATGCTGCACAAGAAAACAAAAAAGAAGTTAGCAATTTTTTGCAATTGTTTCACATGTCAACAACATCCTGAGACAAGTAAAGAAAGGTCCTAAAAAAGATGGTGCCAGAAAAAATGGTGCAATTAGATTGAATCCTGTACCTTGACACAGACCACATAGGATTCCAACTTTCTGGATGAACTGCAAAAGAACATGAACAAGGTTAAAATGAAATCAGTTCTTAGAAATATAGATAAACAGGAATACCTAAATTATTCTTCAAAAAACTTACAATCACTCATGGACAGGCATATTTTCTTCTGTGTCATAAAGCGTCCATTGGGGGTGATCATTCTACATGAATGAATTTTTTTAGTTTGATGTCACAAAGAGATGTGTGTTTTCTATCATAAATTACTGAAAGGTCAAAACCGCAAGAAACTACATACGTGATTCCAGGAGGTTTGTAGGGATACTCAGGAGGGAACTTGATCTTTCCATAGTAGTACCCACCTTGGCACAAAACACACACAGCAGATGGTGGCATCAGATAACTACTTCCAGATTCTACAACGAGTTACATAAAATTAATCACAAGTATAATGGGATAAACTAGCCAACCTGCAAAAGGTGTTCCTTCACTCCCTTCCAGCACATAATCTGAAAAAGTGAAGCAGAAAAATTAAATGAATCCCATAAAATCTACTACATCTACACCATGACTTAGATAAAACTCATAATAGTTCAATCATAACTAACCACTGCAACTTTAATTCAGTATAAAAAGACTAGAGAAGCTTGGATCACAAGTCCAACATTAGGAATAACTAGGAAACAAGCCAATTTTATCATTCATCTGCATAAGTAGAAGAATAACATGCCATGTACTGATCACTATAATAGAACTCTTCCTTACTAGAAAGAGCAAGAAAATTAACTTACAAAATTAAGGTCAATATCCAATTCCTTCAGGGAAAAATCTTTTTAAGCTCTAATTAGATGATACTAAAATAGGATCATACGGCAATAGGGATTAGACTCTAGTTCATTGTAAATATTCCAGAAGTCTGCAAATTCCTCCCATGAATCACTATTCAAGTCGATAGAAAACATGAAAACAATCATTTTCCTTCTTTTATAAGGATAAAATCTTAAGACCATACACAAATTCCTTGTTGTTATAGAAGATGTCTTGACATTAGTATTAGTCTGTTACAGAGCTCATCCAAAGAAAGGAGACAAAAAA